GTACAGTAGAGCAACAGAGTGTGTGTGTGTGTGTGTGTGTGTGTGTGTATGAGAGAGAGAGAGAGAGGGAGAAAGCCACCAGGTCCCGGACTCAACCCATGATCCACCACGTGAGAGCCCAGTGCCCTTAACCACCACACCACCTGCCGGCCCCTCTACATCCCTTTTTTCCTGTAGTCATTTCAGGAAGAAATAGTGAATCTGATTGCTTAAGGTCTAGAATGTTGACTGGATCATATTCACTAGCACATAGTCACTGTCTTTTAAAAGATCACATGGTCATGAATAGCCGGCATGCTGTAAGTAAGAGCAGGAAAATCTCAGTTCTTAGTAGGCCCAACCATAATGGCAAGCTCACTCTCTCTTCTCCCAAGTTTGCTAGTATAGAGTTCTGTACTATGTGCCCTTATGAATTGGATTTTGACATGAGTACGATATGAAGCCCTTATTTAGGCCTCAAGACAATCTTAATATTCCAGCCCTGCTTTCCAGAGCTAAATTGGGACTTGCATTAAGAATTGATTTAATTATATTAATACTTTTCTGTTATTCTTTTAACAATATTCTTCTTTTTTTTTTTTTTTTTTTGGAGAGATTTTCACTGTAGGGCGCGTGCGCTCGCCAGACAGACAGAGAGAGACATAGAGACAGAAAGCGAGAAATCACCCCCCAGGGGGGATGGTCACGCCGCAATCCCTTCTCCTCCATTCTCCTCTCGGGATCTTGGGCACGCACGCACATGCGCCCGGCATGAGTTTTAAGCCACCGGGTCCGGGACACGAACCGCGGTCGACTACGTGGGAGTCCAGCAACATAGCCATTACGCTAACTGCTGGCTCCCTGTAAAATATTCTTGAGAACATTTGAAGGAGTATAGCAATGATGATATAAACTAGATCTGGGCTGGCTCTGTAGCACAGTGGTAATGCATTGCTCTAGAGTAGCCAAATCCTACATGGTAACCATGGTACAAATCCCCAGCCTGGTCATCCTGAAACATGCTGGGAACATACTAATGTGTCTGAAATCTAGTGGGCTGGAAGAAGGAGATTACAGCCTGGCTAGACTGTGGAAGGTGCTCAACCTCTTTCTCACTTGCTCTCACTCTTACATGCATGTGCACATGATGTATCATGCAATTGTGTATGCTTTATCATGAAAAAAGAAAAATAATAATAAAATATAAAAAAAATAGGTCCAGGTATCTGAGCATATCTATTACTAGATATGTAACAGTAATCAGGGAGCAACTTAGCTGGGTATTTCTAGATAAAGGTCTCTCAGAACACTCATCAAAATGTCACCAGGTCTTGCTGTCTCATATAAAGGTTTGACTAGGGGAAAGTCCACTTCCATGCTTGCTTACATGCGCTTCTCTACAGGACTGCCCCGCAACATGGCACTTAAGAACGAACAACCAAGGTGGAGGCCACAGTTTTTGTATAGCCCATTCTCATGAGTAGCATTTTATCACTCTTGCTTCCTATTTATTACAGGCAAGTCAGTAAATTTGGCCCATACTCATGGGGGAGATTTTTAAATAGTATATATACTAGAAGAAAAGAAACATTTGGAAACATCTTAGAGCACACCAAACAAACTGGCAGACTTTGGCCATAATTATGTGTTGATAGCATCAATTTTTTGGTAGTATGAAGTGTGTCCAAAATTTATTAGACCACCGAAACCTTCTATTCCTTTTCTCCTAAAGCTTGTTCTCTAGAGCAGTTTGGGAAATAATACTTAATATTTAAGAGCAATCTCTTCATTTTACACTGAGAAAAATTGAGGTCCATAGAAATTGAATAACTTGCCTTTGCCTATGGTCGTTCTGCTAGATATGAGCAGATGTGAGGCAAGAGCCGTTATTTCCCTACTCATACTTTCATGCAGTTTCAATTTTGTGTAAGCGTATTCAATTTTGTGTAAGCGTTCTTCAGTTGCATTACCATCTTCCATTGTTACCTTTTTGGAATATATCAGGTATTGTGGTAATCATATGGTATATAGATATATCTAATCTTTACATTACACACTTTAAATGTATACAACTTTTATTTGGCAGTTATACTTCTATAAAGCTAGAAAGAAAGAAAAAGACCTTTATTTGCTTTCTGGGAAGAAAATCAGTGTTTCAAATTTCAAAATCCAAAGTGAAAATGCTCCCTTAGCTAATAGACTCAGAACTTCTTAAACCCTTGAGTAGGAAACTATAGGGCATTCTGGGAGCCAGACATTCTTCAAAGAATGTCAGAATTACATTCAAATTTTATGTTTTATTTCTTTGAAATGATGTGATCTTAATATCGTACAAATATTTGAGTCCCTACCAAGTGCCAGGTACTCCACTGGCACTGTAAGAATAGGATATAGTCACTGTCTCTGAGGCGCATACATCTAAGTTAAAAGAGGTAAATAGCAAACTAACAGTTACAGAACAGTGTGACAAGTATATACTCTAGATTTCACACTGGGGCCCAGCAGGTGGCATGGTGGGTAAGGCGCTGGACTCTCAGATAGCCTACCATGGTTTAAGTCCCAGACCTGGCGGCTGGATTTTTCACTTTCTGTCTCTCTGGTGAACTCATGGGCCCTAAAACAAGTAGTAGTAATAGTAGTAAATAAAAGAAAATAAATCTAAAGTAAAATGGATTCATCAAAAAAAGCTTTAGGGAACCAGCAGTTAGCGTAATGGCTATGTCGCTAGACTCCCACGTAGTCGACTGCGGTTCATGTCCCGGACCCGGTGGCTTAAAACTCAGGCCGGGCGCGTGTGCGTGCATGCCCAAGATCCCGAGAGGAGAATGGAGGAGAAGGGATTGCGGCGTGACCATCCCCCCTGGGGGGGTGATTTCTCGCTTTCTGTCTCTATGTCTCTCTCTGTCTGTCTGGCGAGTGCACGCGCCCTACAGTGAAAATCTCTCCCCCCCCCAAAAAAAAAAAGCTTTAGAAAAAAATTTCACACTGATAACAGTCACTAAGATTTTCCTAAAATATGAATCACAACTATCAACATTGTAATTATTTATCTATATTTGTGACCTGTTTTATTTTGTGATAGCACATATCTTTCTAATTACGAATTTCTTTTTATATAAAATTCCATTAACATGGCCCTTATATATCTTTGGTTTCATTTTTAATTATTTATCTTAAATATAGGATGCAACATGACATAACACTGAATTGTTATTCAGTACCAAGTGGGAATTATTCAGATAATATTCCTGGAAGATTCTGCACTAAATTGTAGTATACTTGTCTATATGAAAATAATATAAAATTTTGTTCTAAACTATCTCCTGGTATTATTAGAGTATGTTTATTTTTAGAGAACTCTGTGTATTTACCTTAAGGTCTTATTATTTAGGCTTAACTAATTTAATATTTATAATAACTCAAATGTTGCTAGACAAGTATATTAGTATGTCAAGTTGTTAAATATTTTATAATATTTAGCATATAAGCCATGCAAGGAAGTGTGACACAAATCTCCACATAGTAATAGATGTTGGTGGCTTTAAAAAGTCATTTTAAGTTAATAAAAACACCACTTAGTAGTTCAGTGACTGCCCTATGATTTGCTGCTCTTTTATTCAGATAACTCTTTTATTTAGTTTAAAATCTGATGTTTTTCATTATATTTTAAGAATCATGGGTATTGAACTTCCTTAAAACATAATTTTCCATTTTTCATTTACCTTATTATATAGGTAAACAGAATTGTGTATTGCATTGTTATTCAGGCATGACTTCATTAAATATCGACAGTTTTTCATGACTGGTGATTAAGCCTGATTTAGGGGCAGATGTGAATTAGGAAGTATAAATTATAAGGTTGTGAAGTGATTCTAATAGCTACGGCTCAAATTAGGTTTTCAGTCAGTCTTTGAAAATAAATGTTACACACAACAAAGTGCATCTTATGGTGTCTGTTGGCTCATTTACTTTTCTGTATTAACTTGATTTTAATGTTAAATTAATGCAGAAATTTTAGTGATTGTTTGCACTTATTTCTAAGTATGAAGTAATTAATGTTAAAGAATACAACTTCTTAAAACTATTAAAGATAAATTATACCTCTTTTCAAGTGCTTTGATGATCTTCAGATTTATTTTTTAGGGTCAGAACGTCCCTTATCCTAAATTCTGTCTGTAAAGTTTGTAAGTCTCTGTCCCTTGTCACAAATTTGACTTAAAACATCTAAAAACTTTGACAGTTTCACTTTCAATCTGTCTTAAGTATCTTATCCTAAGCATATTCCTGAATTAAAGGGAAACAAATTTCTACTTATGTTCTATTTTTTATTCTATTTCTATAGGAAATAAAAATTTCTGCAAATAGTAAATGCTTCTTAGTGGTATCCATCATTTTACATAAAGATTTCCCTAAAGCATCTATAGCTGTATTTGATTTTCCTTTTTTCTAGGATCTGGCATTTATTGTCTCTTCTATACAATTTAGTTCTTAATCACATAGCCTTTGTTGTTTATAAATCTTGTCTTTTCTGTTTGCTTGTGTGTGTGTGTGTGTGTGTGTGTGTTTATTCACAAATTTGACTTAAAACATCTAAAAACTTTGACAGTTTCACTTTCAATCTGTCTTAAGTATCTTATCCTAAGCATATTCCTGAATTAAAGGGAAACAAATTTCTACTTATGTTCTATTTTTTATTCTATTTCTATAGGAAATAAAAATTTCTGCAAATAGTAAATGCTTCTTAGTGGTATCCATCATTTTACATAAAGATTTCCCTAAAGCATCTATAGCTGTATTTGATTTTCCTTTTTTCTAGGATCTGGCATTTATTGTCTCTTCTATACAATTTAGTTCTTAATCACATAGCCTTTGTTGTTTATAAATCTTGTCTTTTCTGTTTGCTTGTGTGTGTGTGTGTGTGTGTGTGTGTTTATTTATTTATTTATTTATTTATTTTTATATTTTAGCCCCAGCATGTTACTGGGCACATAAGTGAATCATATATTGAGGCAGAACAATGATAATTATAATTTAGCAGTATGTACTGAAATTTAAAAAGTAGATATAACAAAGAATGTATCAAAATATCACTAATTTAAATTAACAAAGAGGAAAGAACCCACTAAATGATAGTGTTTTCTTGTTTAAGTAATTTTTACAGTTAGGAAAGTGAAATATAAAGAAATTGGAAAATACAGGGGCATTCCCTTTGCTCTAATATGCACATCTACACACAGATACACTTTCAACAGTGAAAACATTCTATTGGGTCAGTGAAAAAGTCATGGCACATTTGCATAGAAAAACATGCATGACTTTTCTAATAACCCAATATATTATAGTTCTTTGCTACTTTTTCATTTATTACATTAAGATTTTCCCATGTTGTTAATATTCCTTTTTTTAAAGGGAGATTTTTATTATAGGGCCTGATGCTTGCCAGAAAGAAGTAGACAGACAGAAAGTAAGAAACATCACTGGGGGATGGCCACACTGCAATGCCTTGTCCTCCATTCTCCTCTCAGGATTTTGGACAGTCACATGCATGTGCCTGGCATGAGTTAAAGCCACTAGGTTCAGGACTCAAACTGCGGTAGACTGTGTGGGAGCCTAGCAGATGTAACTATTATTCCATTTGCTGGGTCCCTTAATATTCTTTTTTTTTTTGCTTTGAAGAGGTTTTTGCTATAGGGCACGTGTGCTCGCCAGAGAGACAGAGAGACAGAAAGCAAGAAATCACCCCCAGGGGAGATGGCCATGCTGCAATCCCTTCTCCTCCATTCTTCTTTTGGGATCTTGGACACGAGCCCAGGGTGAGTTTAAGCCACCTGGTCTGGAACTCAAACCGTGGTTGACTACATGGGAGTCCAGCAATGTAGCCATTACGCCGTCTGCTTGTCCCCCCTTTATACTCTTTTTTTTTTTTTTTTAACCTTTTAAAAGGATTATTTATTTATTTAATTCTATTTGTTGTTATTTTCTAATTTTACCAGAGAGAGAAAGAGATTTAGGAAGGGAAAGTGGGAAAGAAAGCCATCACGTCTAGAACTCGAACTGTGGTTGGCCATGTGGGAATTCAGTGCCTTTAACCACTACGCCACCTGCTGGCCCCAGTCCTTAATATTCTTTTTTTTTTTTTTTTTGAAGAGGTTTTCGCTATAGGGAGCGGGTGCTCACCAGACAGACAGAGAGAGACAGAGAGACAGAAAGCGAGAAATCACCACCCAGGGGTATGGTCACGTCACAATCCCTTCTCCTCCATTCTCCTCTTGGGATCTTGGGCACGCACACACACGCGCCTGGCGTGAGTTTTAAGCCACCAGGTCCAGGACGCGAACCACGGTCGACTACGTGGGAGTCCAGGGACATAGCCATTACGCTAACTGCTGGTTCCCCTTAATATTCTTTTAAAACAGGATTTTAGAAAAAAATGTACTATGATTTATTTACCATACTCCTTATTACTGTAGTTGTGAGTTAATTTCATTTTACTTTTTTTTTGTTTTATAATGTTATTTTTTAAAGAATTATTTATTTGACTTTGTTATCATTATTATCTTTTAATATGCTATAGGACACATGTGTTCACCAGAGATAGAGACATAGAAAGAGAGAGAAGGAAAGTGAGAAAGCAAACTGCCAGGTTCTGAACTGGAACAGTGGTTAGCTATGTGGGAGTCCAGCACCTTAACCAGCATACCATCTGCTGACCCCCTATTTTACTTTTTTAAAAATTTTATTGACTTATTCTTCTTATTATTATTTTTAAAAATTGCTATAGGGCACTTGTGCCCACCAAAGCAAGACAGACAGAGAGAGAGGGAAGGTGAGAAAGAAAGCCACCTGATCCAGGATTCAAACCATAGTCCGCCATGTAGGAGTCCAGAACCTTAACTACCACACCACCTTCCGAACTCAGCATTTTACTTTTTAGCATGTTCATTTTTTGCAAATTGTATGGATTTAAAATTATTTTAAACATAATATAAAACCGAGAGGACTTTGAGAAAGGCATCTTCAAACTATACTTAAAACCCACATGTATTCTTTTTTTTCCATGTGTCCAAGGCATGAACTAGGCAAGGGCACTGCCCAAAAGCCAAGGTGGGATGAACACAGGGCTGCTTTGTCCCTGACTGATAAGAGATGGGCACAACTAGCCAGGTGTCACTCTACGCAGGCCAGGGACAACAGCCACTTGTATTCTGCAGTAACTTAATTCTGTGAGTCAGAAGAAGATGCTGTGATCTTTAGTTAATTGTAGCTATTTTAATGTGAATGTTTCCTCTAATTTAAATATTATCTTTGCTTGTTTAAAAGAGTTGGTGTACTTAATGGTCTGTCCAGCTATTTGTATTGCCTTATTGTAACAGTCTAAAATGCCATCCCTATGTGTCACCATTTCATTTTATAAAGAGTAGCTATTGGGATACTGTATTCCTTTAAAGTACTCTTGTCAGTTACCAGTATGGTGAAAATATTCCAAAGAGAAATAGGGACTTAAAATTATTTCTGTATTTTTCAAGCCACATTATTCCATATTATTTATTTGAAATATTTACATTTTAATTTAGTATTCATAAAAGAACTAAGAAATTATTGAGAAAATTTTCTTCTGCTACTTGAGTTCCAAAATGAATATTTTTGTTTGCTTTCTTTATCTTTATGCCTATATGTGTGTATTTTTTACATTCTTTACCTCCTCACCTCAATTAAAACTGAACTTAAAATACATTTTATTCACTTTTCCCTGTGGCACAGATCTGGGATTCAGAAATTTGGACCTCAGTACTACTACTTTCAAAGTATTAGCATCATTCTTAGTCCTCTGTGGGTATGATTATTATTCTCCCCTCTTCCCTTCATTGACTAAATCTTGGTCCACATTCCTTGGGAACTTTGGTATTTGCCATCTGCTTCTTCAGTTTAACTCCTGCCATTATTTGAATGCCCTTCCAAGCCTTTTTGAAATTCCTCCACTTCTCTACCCCAGACCCCTGTTTATATTAAATGAGTTCACTTTGAATTCTGTATGAAATTTCAGACTCTGAAATATCCCTCTTTGACTCTAACTTTGTATCTTTTGGCTCTTCCCAATGTACAGATCCTTCTTTCTGAGATCTTCGATATTCTATTTATGTACCTTCTAGATTCAGCTCTCTAGATTTCCTTGTAGGCCATTTAAATCCTGCTTTCACCGGTATCTACAATTAATATCACCCTTATTCCCTTGATTATCTATTTCACTTTTCCTGTCATTTTCCTAGTACAGGGACAAGCAATTTTGTGTGTTTTGTTTTAGTTTCAGTTTGTGCCTTTACCTCTTATTCTAAGAAAAATTAAGTTATAAACATTCATTGCCTCATTATCTCTATTGCAAATTGATTTCCAACATTGGCTGGGCATTGTGGTTTCTCTTATTGGTTGGTCTTTCACTCTCCATGACTTAATTTCTCTGGTTCCATTTCCAAACCTGTCTAGTTCTCTACCCAATGTCTTTCTCTTTGCTTTCAGTATTTGCTTTCATGTTCTTTCAAAAGAAAATAGAGGTATTCCAAGTTAAAACAGTGAAGTTTGTTCTTGCCTATCAAATTGGTAAAAATTTAGAAAAATTATAATGGACATTGTTAGCAAGGGTGTGTCAGACACTTTCCCATCACTTATTAGAATGTAAATTGGTAAACCCGTCTTGAGATCTTTTACACAGTGTGTATCATGGAACTTTGAAATGTCCATTCTTTTGTATCTTTTAAATAATTATTTATTTTATTTTTATTATTACTTAATTTGTGATAGGGTACATGCACCCATCAGACAGAGACAGAGAGAAAGAGCACAAGAGAGAAAGGAACTGAGAAAGTGAGAATGCAAGCTACTAGTTCCAGACTCGAACCTCTTTCGGCCATGTGGGAGCCTAGTGTCCCAACCAACATGCCACCTGCTGGCCCCTTGTATATCCTTGATAATCATTGCACTGACTTGAATGCATCAAAAAATTTTTAATGAATTCGTCAGTTTTTAAAGTATTTTTTAGCGTATGTTTATGCTTTAGTTTTTTGGGGTTTTTTTGAGAGAGAGAGAGATTTTTGCTGTAGGGTGTATGCACTCGCCAGAGAGACAGAGACAGAATACATGAAATGACCTACTAGAGGGGATGGCCATGTCACAATCCCTTCTCCTTAAGATTTTGGGCACAAATGCACACACACCTGGCATGAGTTTTAAGCTGCCAGGTCTGGGACTCGAACCACTGTTAACTACGGGGAGTCCAGCAATGCAGCCATTATGCCATCTGCTGGTCCCATAGTTTTAAAATTTTTTACATTCATGTGATAATATACAATAATTTAAAATCATATTTTCAAGGACTATACGCTAGAAAATGTATTTCATTGACATATTGTTAAGTAGAGTGAAAGAATATAAAACTCTTATTTCCCACTTTTCTTTAGAAATAAATTTCTCACAACAGCAATTTAAGGTAGACGTATTATCCTCCACTTTAAAAAAACAAAACAAAACCAAAAAACCTGTTGTTTAGAGAGAGAGGTTAATTGTCTAAAGTCACAAAGAATGTAAGTAGTAGACCAGATTCTAGCTCTAATCTGTCTGATTTAGGAGTCCTAGGTCTTATCTATATTGCTGTGTAGGCTTATACAAATAGCTGGACAGACCAGTAAGCACACTAATCCTTTCAAACAAGCAAAGATAACATTTAAATTATAGTGTTAAATGTACATACAAAACATCCACATCAAAATATATATAATTGACCAAAGATCACAGCATCTTCTTACCTAAGACCCAGGTCTTACCCATGTGGGCTTCCAAACTATATAAGTAGAGATTTAATTCTGTGACTACATATAGTGTAGGTTTTTAAAATTAGCTTCAAGGGGTCAGCAGGTAGCATCATGGTTAAGGATGCTGTACTTCTACATGGCCGACCGTGGTTCAAGTCCTAAACCTTGCAGCTTTCTTTCTCTCTCTCTCTCTCTCCCCCTCCCTCCCTCTCTCTCCCTTTCTGATCAAATTAAAATAAATAAATAAAGTTAAATAAAATAATTCTTTAAAAAATAGCTTCAAGGTTGTAGCTGTAAATACAGTCTCTTAGGATTCTATATCTCAAGAACTACTTTGTTTTATTCTTTAAGAATGCATTAATATCCAAAATACATTTATCTGATTAATACCAAAACCCTATACACTTGACCCTTGAACAACACAGGTTTGAACTACATGGATCCACCTATACATGGGTTTTTTTTTTTTTTTTTGGAGAGATTTTCACTGTAGGGCGCGTGCGCTCGCCAGACAGACAAAGAGAGACATAGAGACAGAAAGCGAAAAATCACCCCCCAGGGGGGATGGTCACGCCGCAATCCCTTTTCCTCCATTCTCCTCTCAGGATCTTGGGCACGCACGCACACGCGCCCGGTGTGAGTTTTTTTAAGCCACCAGGTCCGGGACACGAACCGCGGTCGACTACGTGGGAGTCCAGTGACATAGCCATTACGCTAACTGCTGGTTCCCTACATGGATTGTTTTCAATAAATACATTGTAAAATACAGTATAGTACCATATTTTCTCCTGTATGATTTTCTTAATAACATTTTCTTTTCTCTACCTTACTTTATTATTGGAATATACTATATAATACACAAATATATAAAATATATAATGTATAGCATTTTAAATATATGTTAATAGTGTATATTATCAGCAAAGCTTCTGGTCAGCAGTAGGCTGTTAGTAGCTAAGCTTTTAAATCAAAAGTTAACCGTGATTTTCGACTGCCTTGGAAGGTTAGCAACCTTCCCTATCTCCCACCTTGTTGAAGAGTCAAGTGTACTTTTTAAAAAATGTATGTGTCAGCTTACCAGTTCTGTGTAGTGTAAAAGGTCTTAAGAAAAAAAGAGAATGGATTTCTTTAAAGACTGAGCTTTTTAAAAAATAAAAGAGAAACATCCCCAAAGGCTAAACACTTACAATTTTCTTGAGCAAATTAATAGACCCTGTATTAGCCTGCTCAGGGTGCCGTAAGATGATGCCAAGACTATGTGGTTTAAACAGCAGTGTTTATTTCTTAGTTTTGGAGGCTGGAAAGTCCAAAATCAAAATTCTGACAGGGTTGGTTTCTGGTGAAGGCTATTTTGTGGCTTGAGGAGTCTAGTTTCTTGCTTTGTCCTCAGACGGGTGAGAGAGATTGCTCTGCGGTCTCTATGTTATGTTGGCATCAGCATTATGGCCATAAGGGTGCCACCCTTATTTCTTCATTTAACTTTTATCACCACCTCACAAGGCCTTACCTCCAAATATGGTCACATGGGAGAAAAGGACTTCATAATATAAATTTTGCAGGGATACATTCATTCCATAATAACCCTTATTTGTTGGGATAATATTTTCCCTCTTCTGAAAGTCACCTAGTAGAGGCCTAGCTATTTTATCTGCTAATTCTAGGTACTGAGATTTCCTGTATAATTAGAATTCATTGGTAATTTGTCCAGAAAATTTGAGATTTCCATCCTAATGCAATGTGTTGTTTAGGGTAATTTTGGGAGTGTGGAGATGTGCCGGTATGACCCTCTGCAGGACAACACTGGAGAAGTGGTAGCTGTAAAAAAGCTCCAGCACAGTACTGAAGAGCACCTCAGAGACTTTGAAAGGGAAATTGAAATCCTGAAATCCTTGCAGCATGACAATATTGTAAAGTACAAAGGAGTGTGCTACAGTGCTGGTATGTTGTCCATTGATGTTTATTTTTAACTCAAAGAAATGTCAGGTGTCCTGAGTAATAGAACCATATAATGATGTCTAAGATCTCGACTTATAATATGCCTTTGCGCAGAGAGAGCAGCATTCTATACGACTGGAGCTTGTGCTTGGTGATCAGAGGCTGTAATTACAGAAAGTCTTTGGCTAGTTACTTGTTGTCTCTACCTCAGGCTTACTGAGGAGAGTCATTTTTAGAGAGAGAAATCATCAGAGGCCAGTAGGTGGCATGGTGGTTAAGACTGGACTCCCACATGACTGACTGTGGTTCGAGTCTGGGTCCTGGTGGCTTGAAAATCACACTAGGCACATGTGTGTTTGCCCAAGATCCCAGGAAGAACATGAAGGAGAATGGATTATGATGTGGCCATTTCTCCGTGTCGGGGGCGGGGGGGGATTTTTAAATTTTCCTTCTCACTGTCTCTCTCTGGCAGGTACATGCAACCAATTACAAAATTAAAACCTTAAAAAAAAATCGGTTTTGGTCACAATGCATATTAAAATATTATTTGAATATTAGACTTTTCCAGTATAAATGAGGGGGAAGAAAGTTTTCTTGCCAGCTTATTTTGGTTTTCCTTAAAGGGTTAAAGAAGACTAAAACATAAATATTTTTAAAGTTTTTTTTTTTTCCTTTTCAAAAGTTTGATCTGAGTGACCAGCAGTTAGTGTAATGGCTATGTCGCTGGACTCCCATGCAGTTGACCATGGTTCGTGTCCCAGTGGCTTAAACTCAAGCTGGGCGTGTGTGTACGCCCAAGATCCCGAGAGGAGAATGGTGGAGAAGGGATTGTGGCGTGGCCATCCCCCCTGGGGGGTGATTTCTCACTTTCGTCTCTCTGTCTCTCTCTATCTTTCTGGCAAGCACACGCACCCAATAGCCAAAACCTCTCCAAAAGAAAAAGTTTGATTTGAAAAGTCTGTTCTTAACTACTCCATCACCTTTCATTTATAATACAGTTTTCATTTTAGACTCAGATTTTATGTTTCTTTAAATCATTTATGTACGATTATTTTCTGGTATTTTATCAGTGTAATATGCCAAAGTAAAACAATACATTCCCTTTTGTATGTTAAAAGGCCGGCGTAACCTAAGATTAATTATGGAATATTTACCTTATGGAAGTTTACGAGACTATCTCCAAAAACATAAAGAGCGGATAGACCACAAAAAACTTCTGCAGTACACATCTCAGATATGCAAGGTACCTAGTATCCGGGTTATTTGTTGTAGATGAAGTGAGCATATTGAAATAATTGTTTAGAAATTCTCTAGACTTTTATCTAGATAATAAAGGGAGTATAAAAGGGGAAGAGCATTTAAACTGCTATGTTTATAAAATTAGCTGAAAAAATGTTATTTTATCCTTATTAGGGTATGGAATATCTTGGTACAAAAAGATATATCCACAGGGATTTGGCAACAAGAAATATATTAGTGGAGAATGAGAACAGAGTTAAAATTGGAGATTTTGGCTTAACTAAAGTCTTGCCACAAGATAAAGAATACTATAAAGTGAAAGAACCTGGTGAAAGTCCCATATTCTGGTGAGTAAATTTCAGCATAATAAAGTGAAATATTAGAGCATAAACTTAAAGCTTTGTTTTTGTTGTTATTGTTTCATAGTTTAACATTTATGTACTTATAATAATGGTGGGTGAGCATTTACTATATGCTTACATTGGCTAAAAACATTTCATGGATTATCTCATTTAATCCTCCTAACAGCCCTTGGAAAATATGTGTTATTCTCATCTCCATTTTAAGGATGAGAGAACTGAGGATTGTCCAAGGTCTCATGACAAATAAATGGTAGAAGTGAGATTCAAACCCAGATAGTCTGATTCTAGAGTTTGTGCTTTTAAGCTTTTTTGGATAGTGCTTTATTCTGGCATTGAATATTTTTGTTACAACACTTTGAAGCTTAAGAGAATTTTCTAACTTCAGTTAAAATTGTGAATTAGTTGTGGGGAGAGTTCAAGCCTATTTTTTTATCTGGCATACATTGTCATTTCTGTGGATCGATGCTTTGATGCAAGGTTTCTTTTTTTTTTTTTTGGAGAGATTTTCACTGTAGGGCGCATGCGCTACAGACAGAGAGAGACATAGAGACAGAAAGCAAGAAATCACCCCCCAGGGGGGATGGTCACGCCGCAATCCCTTCTCCTCCATTCTCCTCTCGGGATCCCGGGCACGCACGCACACGCGCCCAGCGTGAGTTTTAAGCCACTGGATCCAGGACACGAACCGCGGTCGACTATGTGGGAGGCCAGCAACATAGCCATTACGTCAACTGCTGGTTCCCCAAGGTCTCTTTTTTATACCTTTATTCATTAATGGCACGTTTTGTTTGTTTGTTTTAGAGTTACTTATTTTTATTTTTTAATTTATTTATTTTTAATTTGACCAGAGGGAGAGAGAGAAAGTGAGAAAGCAAGCTGCCTGGTCTAGTACTCAAACCATGGTCGGCCATGTGGGAGTCCAGCACCTTAACCACCACGCCACCTGCTGGCCCCAGTACATTTTATTTTCTAGGAATGGCATGGTGAAATTATAGTTGAATGTTTTGGTTTTACGTATATTCCAAATGTACTTTAATTCTGGTTTATCCATCTGCTAAAATACTAGTAAGATGATTTTTTTTAATCAAATGTGAGTGTTAAAGGAGGACCATCAGGTGGCTTAATAGGAAGACTGAACTAAAATGATAAGTGTGATAATGGCAGGCAAATTCAACCAACAGATTGGCCTTCTACCCACAATCACATTCTTTTTAGACCTCATAATTTGGGAAAAAACAGATGTATAATCAAACCATTGCAATGCAATGTGTAAGTGCAATAATAAAGTAGATATTATAATAGGAGAACTTAAGAGTACAAAGAATTCTGCTAAATGTTCAAGTCAGTCAAAGAAGACACTAAGATGACACTTCAACTGCTGAGCAGTTTACCAAATAAGTAAGAGGAAGAACATGTCATAGAAAGGTCAACAAAAACAAGAGAATCAAACTTGCAAGTTAAAACACATAATCAGAGGAAAAACCGGGAATAATTGGCCTTGGAAAGGGGTCGGGACCTGTTATAGTTTGAATGTGTCCCCTCCAAAATTCAGGTGTTGGTAGTGTGATGCCCTCACCAGAGAACCCAACCTGCTGATTCCTTAATCGTGGACTTCTTAGCCTTCAGAACTGTGAAAAAAACAAATTTGTTTGTTTTAAATTACCCGGTGTCAGATATTGTTTATAGCAGCATAATTGGACTTAAAACAAGCCCTGTACACCATGTTAATGAATTCAGACTTTATTCAGCAAACAGTGTGGAAATGGGAAATTAGAAGTTTTATCCAGGGTAGCAATATGTTAAAATTCAAATTTTAGAAAGATAGCTCTACTTTTGGTGTAGAATAGCAGTTCTCAAAGTATGGAACTCCTGTACACCCCTTTTAGGGGTCTGTGAGGTCAAAACTGTTTTATAGTAATACTTAGATGTTATATAACTTTTTTACTCTTATTTTTAAATGAGTATGTGTAGAATCTGCCAAAGGCTACAAGGATGTCTTCTGTTTAATCAAACATTAAAGAGACTTGCAAAAATGTAAAACAATGATGTTCTCTTACATTTTTTTCTTTTGGAAAATAGATTTTTTTCCCATAAAAATGTTATTTGTGTTAATATGTAATGGGTTTATTGTTATATGAATTAAATATTTTTATATTTTCTTAGTTTTTAGTATCTAATATCATATGGTAAATATCGGTATATATAACCCATATAGACAGAAGCTTTTTGGGAACCTCTGTAATTATTAAGTGTGTATAGAGGAGGCTGAGACCAAAAGATTTGAGTAAGGAACATTGTATTAAGAAGATGGGAGTCGGCAGGTGGCATGGTGGTGAAGGCACTAGATTACCACGTGGCTAACCACTGTACAAGTCCCATACCTAGCAGCTTGCTTTCTTACTTTCCCTTTCTCTCTCTCTCTCTTTGGTCAAATTAAAAAATAATCATCATCGAGGCCAGCGGTTAGCATAATGGCTGTGTCGCTGGACTCCCACGTAGTCGATTGCGGTTTGAGTCCCAGACCCGGTGGCTTAAACTCACACCGGGCGTGTGTGCGTGCGTGCCCAAGATTCCAGTGTCCAAGATCCCGAGAGGAGAATGGAGAAGAAGGGATTGCGGCGTGACCATCCCCCCTGTGGGGTGATTTCTCGCTTTCTGTCTCTCTCTGTCTGTCTGGAGAGTGCATGCGCCCTATAGCAAAAAGCTCTCCCCCACCCCAAAAAAAATCATCATCATCATCAAAATTTAATTATTTATTAAATAAAAAGAGACTAATAGCAGAAAGGAGGCTAATTAGGCAATTTTTGTAGGAATCTAGATCACTGGTTTTCAATTTTATGAATGTATACTCACTAAAATCATTTTGAAAAATCATACTATTTCACAGTTTAAAATTTATGCCTAAATTTTTTCTTTGTAAGTTAATAAGTTGTAAATAATATCTTTTTTAAATTATTGTAGTGATTGACATTTAAATAACAGCTATATCAGTACTTCATTTTTTAAAGAATTATTTATTTATATTTAATTTTATTTGTTACTAGTATTTTTCATTTGACCAGAGAGAGAGCAAGAGAAAGGAAAAGTGAGAAAACAAGCCACCAGGTCCAGGACTGTAACCATGGTCTGCCATGTGGGAGTCCAGCGCCCCAACCACCATGCCACCTACTGGCCCCATTACATCAGTGTTTTAAATATGTCCAATGGAATCTGAATTCTGCCGCCATTTGATACTTACATCATCCACTTAAAAAGAAATAGAAGACTTCTTATTTATATGTTTCTTTAATTTTTGTTGGAAAATTTATCTTTTCTCCTTAAATTATATTTCTACTTTTTCATTCAAAATTTTACATAAAGTGTATTTTACAATTAAGAAATCTTTTGACCACCTATATTCTTTGTAGCCAAAATAGGTATATAAATTAATACTTATTTTTAAATTTCCCATGACATAAAATTTTTAAATTTCCCATGACATAAAATTTTTAAAGATTCACATTTTTCTTCTGTGTTAAGTTATTAGTCAAGGTATTATCCAGATGCAAGTTCTCTAAAACATTTAAGTAAATTATAAATTTGGATAATTGCTTAAAATTTTTTATTGGAAACATTTCTTAATGAGAATGAAACTCCTCCATCCAGTTAGTTTATGTATTCTTGGATAAATATTATTTACTCCAATAATGAGGCAAATTTCAGCATACATTCTATGTTTGTTTTTTATTTTCATAACTATAAACAACAAACTTGTTTGACTAGATGAGTAGAAAGGAATTTTGTTAAGACAAAATTTTATTTTATTAAAAGACTTATTTTAACTCTATTTATTTATTTATTTAAATTTGACCAGAGAAGAACAGAGAGAGAGAGTGAGAGAGAGAGAGGGAAAGCGAGAAGGCAAGCCATCAGGTCTGGGACTTGAACTGCAGTCAGTCATGTGGGAGTTTAGCGCCCTCAACCACCATGCCACCTTCCAGCCCCTAAACAATATCATTCATTTCTATGACTCCTGAGTTATATGGGGGGGAAAGTATATAGTGATCTACCATTAAGAATTATCTGTTAGTTGACAGTTTCATTAGATCTATTCTTTTTCAGTTTTATTGGTTTTGACTCTCAAAAACAAACTGAACGACCAGTACAGTCATTCATTTTCTCAATTTTGTTAAGTATACAAAAATAAAATTTCAAATTAATGTATATTAGGCTGATACAATTTCACATAAAGGTAACTTTTTAAAGTGATACTTGCAGAGAAAAAAAAACGCATGTTTTAAATATATGATTTAAATATGGCATACTTTTGAGCAGCCTCAAAGTAGTTGATTTTATGAAAAATGTCTTTCATTCACACCATTTGGCAATGCCAGGCCTCATAAACAAATCAAATTTAATTTCTGGCAAGAAAAGTCTGACTTCATCTTTTATTATGTTAAGTATATTAATATTATGTAAAATATTATTTTTAAGAAAAAACAAATAAATGGCAGAACACAGGTACAGCAGCATGTTTTTTATGAAGCCAAGGGGACATATCCACCAGGGCCCCTTTCTTCCAAGGTTCCTTTTTTTCTAATTTCAAATCATCATTTTCATGCCTAATTTTGTATTCTTTTTTCATAAAGAAAGCCTCCAAACTATTTGAGACCTGTATTTCTGCTTAAAAATCTGTAAAGATGAATTTTGAGGGTAGTCAAGATAAGTTTACCATGGTATATATCTAGTATAATTTATTTCATATTAAGTTATGAAACTAAGATAAATAATTTTTTGTTACTTCATTTGCAGTAAATGATAAAGAGTAAAATGTAGCTAAGATGATAAGTTATGAAGTCTGATATGTGGTAAAGGCATAGTATTCCCTCAGTGAATGTGTAGATACAGGTAGTGAACACTGATGTTTAACTTTGGGAAATAACTAAAAGCATGTTTAAAAGTCATAAATACTCATATTTCCTCATGATCAAACAAGTAGAAAATATTAAATATTTTATGTAATGAAAGATTGAGTAAATTGTATGTTAAGTATTTTAGAACATGAATTGATAAAATAGATTTTAGCAAACTTCATGAATAGTAAACACTGTCTTAGTCCATGACAAAATACTACAGACTGGGTAACTTACAAAGAACAGAAATTTATTTCTTATAGCTCTGGAGACAGGAAATTTATGATCAGGGTACCAGTGTATTTGGTTGTCTAGTGAGGGCTGCTCTGTTTCCAAGATGGCACCTTGCAGTTGCATCCTCCAGGGGGAGGCAAAAGGGGAAAAGGGACTGAACACTGATTAATAGATCCTCTCCTCTCCTTTCCTCTTTTCTCCTCTCCCCCTTCCCTCCCTTCCTTTCTTTCTTATTTTTTAAAATTTTGCCAGGGGACATATTAGCTTACTGGAGACAGAGAGACAGAGAGAAAACACCTTCCTCCTCCCATGGGGAGTGCTCATGCTACAATCCCTTCTCTTCCATTTCTCCCTCTTTTTTGGATTTGGGCATTGGGTTCAATGATTTGCTAAGACACACAGGACTTAGCATATAGTCGTATTTATGGCAAGAATCATTAGCGGGAAAGAATACAAAGCACAATCAGCAAAGGGAAAAGGTGTGTGGAGCAGAGTCTGGAGGAAAGAAGCACAGCTTCTAAGGGTCTTCCCCAGTAAAACCATATAGGACACACTTAATTCCCCCAGCAATGATTGCAACATGTGTGAAATATTGTCTACGGAGGACGCTTATTAGACTCTCACTGCCCAAAGTTTTTATTAGGACTGGTCACATAGACACTTTCTGCCTGGTACATGCCAAAATTCCAGACTCACAGAAGGAAAACAGGTGTTAGTGTAAATCATTTGGTTTGCATGAGCAATTAAGATATAGTGAGTGACTCTTATCATTTGGAGAATTGAGAAACCTTCCTGAAATCTAAGTTCCCATGCACCAGCCAAGGGTCACCATTGCAAGGAGGCTTTCTGAGTATAGCAGCCTCAGGCCTACTGTGTTAACTTTTCTGTACATCTTGTTTTTTTTAGTACAACTCTTTACAAGTAAGATCAAGAGATGAAGGGACTGGCAGGTAGCGTGGTGGTTAAGGCACTGGACTCCCTCATGGCCAACCTTGGTTCAAGTTCCAGACCTGGTAGCTTGTTTTCTCACTTCTCCTCCCCCCCCCCCGATGAATGCCTATACCATATAACAAGTTTAAAATGATGATAATAAGGACTAGCATATGGCATAACAGTTAGGTCACTGGACTCCTATGTAGTGGACTGTTGTTCAAGTCCTGGACCCTATGTCTTAAAACTCACAACAGGTGTGTGTGTGTGCATGCCCAAAATCCCAGGAGGAGAATGGAAAAGGGATTGCGATATGGCCATCCCCCTTTAGAGGTGATTTCTCGCTTTCTGTCTCTCTTTCCTGTCTCTCTGGTGAGCGTACAATCCCTATAGTAAAAATCTCTCTTTTAAAAAAAATGATGATAATAATAAAATTAAATAATTCTTTTTTAAAAAATCAATAGATGGCATATCAAGTAACTTTAAATGTTTTCTGTGTATTACAGGTATGCTCCAGAATCACTGACAGAGAGCAAGTTTTCTGTGGCTTCAGATGTTTGGAGCTTTGGAGTGGTTCTATATGAACTTTTCACATATATTGAGAAGAGTAAGAGTCCACCAGCGGTCAGTGTGCTTTTTATTTACTTTCTCATTTTCTAAAATGAGATAGGCTTTATCCAAAGAGTGATAGTAAGACTATGGCTCATTTTAGAACCTCTTATTGCTAATTTGTAACACAATATCCAGCAAAATAACCCTAAAAAATCTCCGTTAAATTAGTGAGGATTTTTTTTGAAAGTTTTTGTTTATTTATTTGTTTATTTGTTTTGCTACAGGGCACATGTACTTGCCAGAAAGACCGAGAGAGACAGAAAGCGAGAAATCACCCCCCAGAGGGGATGGCCACACCGCAGTCCCTTCTCCTCCTTTCTCCTCTTGAGATCTTGGGCACGCACACATATGTGCCTGGCATGAGTTTTAAATCACCTGGTCCAGGACTTGAACTACGGTCAACTGCATAGGATAGGAGTCTAGCGACATAAACATTATGCCATCTGATGGTCTCAAATTAGAATTTTTAAAAGGAGGGTTGGAGCAATATTTAGTGTATTATCTTAATAGTACTTTTAATAAATACAATAAGCTCATTCATTCTAGGAATTATTGCATAAGTTAAAAACAAATATTCAGTGCTACCAGGTAGCATGGGGGTTAAGTTGCTGGATTCTCACAGGACTGACTGCAGTTTGAGCCCTGGATCTGGTGGCTTGAAAATCATGCCAGGTGTGTATGTGCGCATGACCAAAGTCCCAAGAAGAGAATGGAAGAGAAGGGATTGAGGCATGGCCTCTCCCTGGGGGTGTATGTGTGTGGGGGGTGATTTCTCAGTTTCTCTCTATTTCTCTCTGTGTTCTCTCCAGCATGCACATGAGCCCTGTGGCAAAAACAAAAAAAAAAAAAAGAAAAGAAAAGAAAAGAAAACTTTAAAAGTACATTATTTCCAGCCAGCCAGGTGGCTTGGTAGTTAAGGCACTTGTATTCCACATGGTCAACTGCTCAATTTGAGTCTTGGTCTGGTGCTTTCTCACTGTGTGTCTCTTCCCCCTCTCTGTTTCTCTCTGACAAGTGCATGCATCTGACTGCATGTATGCATAAATAAATGCATTTAAAAAAAGAAAGGTTTTTTTTTTTTTTTTTGTATGTATATAAGAAAGTTTTTTGGTTTTTGGTTTTATTTAAAGGTAAGCTTTTGGAGCCAGCAGGTGGCGTGGTGGTTAAGGTACTGGACTCCTCATATGACCAAGCACAGATCAAGTCCTAAACCTGGAGGCTTGCTTTCTTGGTTTCCCTTTCTCTCTCTCTCTCTCTCTGTCTCTCATCAAATTAAGATAATAATAACAAATGAAATTAAATAAATAACTCTTAACTTAAACAAAAATGTAAACTTTTTCTGTTCATTGCTTTTTACTTTTTAATATTGGAAAGTATGAAAAAAAATCATTTTTAATGCAGTTACTCAGAATTAACCACTTTAATATTATGGTGTATTTTCTTTGACCTCCATTTTGTTATATATTTTTTAAATTAATATCATGCTTTACAGTTAGCTATCCTAATGCTTCATTAAGTATTATAATATGGGCATTTTACTTTAGTAGTATTTATTTACTGCAAATATGATTTCTAATTACTGAGTAACATTCCATCGTAAGGATATATATTTATGGGCAGTCATTTATCCTTCTTCTGTCTTTTAAGTGACACTTCAGTGAACATAGTCAACATTCTTATATATAAATATATTTTTCTCTGGTTATCAACTTAGAATGGTAGGTGAAAGATTATGAATTATTTTTATTAAAGGTTCTTGATTATTTCAAATGCTTTCCAGAAAGGTTGTATCAGACTACATCTCAGTAGCAGTGAATAGTGATGTGTTTCATCCTTTACCAGTATTGGCCATTATATATATAGGGAGAGACAGAGAGTCAGAGAGACTGAGTTTTAAGCCACCAGGTCCGGGATACAAACCATGGTTGATTACATGGGAGTCCAGCGACATAGCCATTATGCTAACTGCTGGTCCCAGCCATTATATTGTTATGCAGCTTTTCCAAATTGATAGAAGTTGAATTTATTTTATTTTAATTTGCGTATCTCATAGTTTGATTGAGTATGTATTTACTGGGTGTGTGGACTGAGTATGTGTACACTGTGCCTATTTTTATACTGGCAATTTTTCTTACCAAAGTGTTAAGAGTTCTCAGTATTTAAAATAAATAAATGAGCCAGCAGTTGGTATAGTGTTGGAGAACTGGACTCCCACATGGTCAGCCACAGTTCAAGTTCTAGACCTGGTGGCTTGCTTTCTCCCTTTCTTTCTCTGTCTCTCTCTCTGGTAAGCACACATACCCTATAGCAAATTTTAAAGATATATAATAATAATAATTAAAATAAATAAATGATATGTTTTTTGTAAATATTTTCCTAGCTTGTAATTTAGACTTTATGGATTTTGGACATACAAAAATTTTCTCTCCATTGTATTTATAATTAAATATTTCTTCTTTATTGTGTTCTGTTTTATAGCTAACATTTAATTTCAACTGAAATGTAATATGATGTATTAATGGAACAACAAAACCAAAGTAAATATGTTTTTAGTTCATGTGTCTTTATCAGGGAATGTGTGTTGAGTATACTAAAGGTTATAGAAATAGCATTATAAGGGTTCTATAATCAATAGTCTTTTCTGAAATATTTCAATCTTAAAGGAAGTCTTTTATCCTCAAAATAGTTCATTTTGAAAAGAGTTTAAAACATACTACGTTTTTTCTGTTTACTGAAAGAAGTTGAAAAAGAATGCTGTTTCAAATTAAAGATAATAGGCTCGGCTGTAGTGATGCAAGCAGAGAACACTGCTGCAGGATAGCTAAAGCTGCATGGGAAGCCCAGGTTCAGTTCCCAGCCCAACCTAACAGGCCAGGCATAGTATGGTGTGCCAGTGTTCTGAGCTGCTAAGGGATTAGGGTGGGAAAGATGACAAATGACAACATGTGAAAAGTACCCATCTCTTTCTCTCTTTCTCCTCTGTTTTCACTTGCACTTGTGTTCATGTGCACTCTCTCACTTAAAAAAAAAAGAAACCTCATTGAAACGTGGGTTTGTATTTCAGGAATTTATGCGTATGATTGGCAATGACAAACAAGGACAGATGATTGTGTTCCATTTGATAGAACTCCTGAAGAATAATGGAAGATTACCAAGACCAGATGGATGTCCAGATGAGGTAGCAACTTTTTTTTAATACACAGTAGTCATGCATTTTCCCCCTTTTTACTGAAATATATTTTGCTGAGCTTTTAAATAAATAGAATAATTAGATGACTAAATCAAAGCACATATCCTGTATAAGAAAATGGAGCAGGAGGAAAATGCATATTGTCTACCAATTAAAAGGTATCATTTTATGTTCTCATAATGTTGTTTATTTTCTCTTTTATAGATTTATATGATCATGACAGAATGTTGGAACAATAATGTAAATCAGCGCCCCTCCTTCAGGGACCTGGCTCTTCGAGTAGATCAAATAAGAGACAGTATGACTGGATGAAAGAGATGACCTTCATTCTGAGGCCAAAGTAGACTTACAGAACAAAGTTTTGTATTTCACATTGCTGTGGAATATTATTACATATATCACCATTACATGAACATGACTCTAGCCAGCAAAGATGTGAAAATAGCTGCTTAAAACTTTTGAAGTTTAATGAGTCTTCTAGAGGCCACCTGTAAATGACATTGATGTAAAGTCCTGAGCAAGAAATTTTTGTAAAAAAGTTTCATGAACCCTATCTGTCACTTAATGTCACCCTTTTCTGACTAAAGAAAAAAAATGGACATTTTTCAACTCAGCTTTTTAAGTGATGAAAAAAATAATAATGTAAATTTTGCAGTGTTGAATATGCACAGAATATATATGTATAGATTTAAGCACAGTGAATGTATGATACCTTGGCCTCTTGTGTGATGTTTTACACAAGCGCTGGTGTTCATTAATAATGTTTTCTAATTTTTCCATAGTTCATCTACAATAACTTCTCTATACAAACAGATCAGATGTGCAGATAACTGAATAAGCACCTTTGTGTCCTTGTTCATCTATACCACTGGCCAGCAATATAAGCAGGTATATTGTTTTAGCTTGTAGTTCCATGTTCTGTAAATAATTTTTCAAAGCAAAGGGAACAATTGTCTAGTTTCATTTGTATAGAAAACTTCTGTGACCCTAAAAATAGATTCATTTTGGAATGTAAGAGCTTACAGAGATATAACACAATCTATTTTCTTATTTGTTTCCCTTGTATGTATTTGTGGTGAATGTGTTTTTTAAGCAGAACTATCTCCCAATTTTTTAAAGACTACAATGAATAATTTTCTTTTAATATTCTGAGATTAAAAATACCAGGAATATTGTCATCCTTTGAGCCACTGACTGCCAGTAAGATTCTTCAGTCCCTGAGACCTATGGTCATTCATTTAATTTAAGTGTAAGCCATAAAATAGATTGTTTTAAAAATGTATAAGCCTCAGTAAGATGTATAATGGGTTAGGAATTTTTTTAGGTGTTTCAAAAATCTGTTGCAGTCATAAAAGAGATTTCATCTTGTGAGCGAGTCATGTACACAAGGGAGAAATGAAGTAAACTGTGAAAAGTTTACTTGTTAATTTTACTCAAGAATGCCAGTAGAAAATTCATAATATATACCTTAAAGAAAAATGAGAGTATACTTATTTTCAATTAAGTATAAAGGGTTATTGTCATTTGTTTTAGTGCTACTCCATTTTAGACACATCTAAAATAAAACATGGTGGGGTTTTTGTGTGTGTGCTATTTATACAAAGCTTAAAACACTATTTTGGTTAAAATAAAATAGTTTCTTTATTTTCAGTGGTATATGCTATTTTTTTAAACTTGTACTTAACACTTCTGATTTTTGGTTGAAGGGAAGGAAAGGGGAAAAATGCTTTTTATTTTATATTCAATATCTTTAAGGGATTTTAGTAATGACTTGATGCAGAAATTACCTGAATTAAAATGACAGTGTATTAGATTTTAAAAAGAGATTTCAAGTAGATATTTTGATTAAAGTAGAATGTGATTTTTATTTTTTAAAGACTCCTCAAGGGCCTATATATGTAACACATTTAAGAGATCTTCCATTCTATTACTTTCCAACTGGAAAGTAGCATATCATACACTATGTTTGATATAAGGTGTCTAAAAGTTTATAGATACCTTAAAAATAAACAGAAATCTTGAAGATGAAGAATACAATATGGGAAATAAAAAATTCTGCTATGAGTGCTGGCCCTGTTGCATAGTGGTTAAGGGAGCCAGAGCCCTCATAGGCAACTGCAGTTCAAATCTCCTAGACAAAAATAACAGTGGGATAGAGAAATGAGAAGGAGTTGTGGCATGACCACACCCTATTAGGTGTACTCTCACCCTCTGTTTCTTTCTGATGAGTGCACATACTCTGTGGGGGAATAAAAATACTCTGTAAAAGGAGTATGAAAACCAGGTTAGATTATACATAAAGAATCTCTGATCTGGTCATTGGAAGCATGCATACCACATTCTCCCTCTTTTCCTCTTGCTCTCTCTCATGAGTTCTCTATCATGAATAAAATAAACTTGGGGAAAAAAATTTTACATGTGGACATAAAGTGAAAAAAAAAAAACAAACCAAAGCTTGGTTATATAATGCTATAACATCTATATGGGGTTGAGATATCAAAGTATATAAATAGGACTTCAACAATGTCCACATGATGACTCTATTACCTGTGTTTTCTAACATTTATCCCACTTCGGAATGAATCTGGTTAAAATACAGATTGCTGGGCCCTATACTCAGAGTATCGGATTCAGCAAGTCTATGGTGGGACCTTAGATTTGCATTTCTAGTAAATTCCCAGATGATGCTGCTATTGGTTTGGCCAAGGACATACTTTCAGAGTCCCTGCTACACGGTACCAACAGATAGTATAATGGTTTTGTCACTGGACTCCCACATAGCTGACCATAGTTTGAGTCCCAGACTTGGTGGCTAGAAACGCTTGCAGGGCATGTGTGCGTGCATGCCCAAAATCCTGAGATGAGAATCGAGGAGATGGGATTGCAGCATGGATATTCCTCCCCAGGGGACTGTTTCTCGCTTTCTTTCTCATGTCTCTGCCTCTCTGAGCACACATGCCCTTGAATAATATTGAGATTTAAGTGTTGATTCACATATTAGTATCTTTAATGCAAAAGTAGTGTATCCTTGAAGGGGTTGTACAACCTAAAGATATCACTGAAATTGTGAAGAGAATCTGACCAGCTATTATAGTAAAACTTAAGGAATTAAAGTGTACCTACTATTATAGTACAAGAACACTTACCAGAATGGTAGTTGATTAGTTATTTTTACATTGGTGGGACAGATGTATTGGCATGGTGGAGTGAGCCGTAGTCATGGGCATCAGTCTGTATGTTATACAGATGGAATGCAGCACATTCTGTAATCCATTTTAATGAGCTTAAAAGAGTTTCAACAATAATGACAGTAATATGGATAGTGCCAACTCCATTAGCAGTATCTTTTTTTTTTAAGAATTATTTAATTTTATTATTATTATTGTATTTAATTTGAACAGAGAGAGAGAGAAAGTGGGAATGCAAGTCACCAGGTCCGGGACTCAAAGCATGATCTGCCATGTGGGAGCCCAGCATCCCCACCACCACACTACCTGCTAGTGGCACCCATGTTGCTAATGGCACCCCTATTAGCAACATCTAAATAAAAAAAGGGGGGATTGGCTCTATAGTGTAATTTTACTTTACTGTGCAGAAGCTGGACCTTATATTGCTGACTGGGTTTAAATCCCAGCCCAGCAGCAATGCATGTGACACTTGTATGCCCAGCCTCCTGAGAGGATAGAGAATTGAAAAAAAATTATTATAGTGTGGCAATACACACACAAACACAGACAGACACATATACATATACACACACACATATATAAAAGCATATATGTGTGTGTATATATTATGTATATATATAGCTACACTACAGTTATTTTTCTTCAATTCTCTATCCTCTATATAGGAATCACCAAAGAAAATACCAAGATTCCTATTGGCAACATAAATTATTGTCGAATGCTTGCAAGTACATTCAAATAGTGTTCACAGAATAGCAGCTACAAGCACAATAACAAATACTAAAACAAATATATTAAGATTTTATTATTTATATAAGTCCTATGATGGTTAGTATATTTGAGTCACAAGGGATGGTCCTTTTAAGTTTTTAAAATTAATGTATGGAAGACATGCAATACTAAGTTCTTCTTTTGTACATCCTTTAATACAACATTTTTCTGAGTACCCTCTGCGTCTTCTTTGGGGATGATTCCCCCAAAATAAATTGCTTAAGGTGTTAATTTTGTTTGTACTTTTCTTCTGAAATGTTACACTCTCATGAACAGATGGATTGATATCACTTAGTAAGGAAAATTCTCTTGTCTTCTCAGGATGAGAGTTGGCCTTTTCATTTTGAGACTCGGGCAGTGACTGCAGTTCTGAACTGTTTATTGCTTCTTCTGGAGAGGCAGTAGAGACTGTTTAGAGACAAGAAAAAGAATCCTACTTTAGTAAACATGTCATTCAGGTGAAAATTTAATACTGGAATTCTAAAATCAGCTAATTATTTTTTTAAAATGAGTAATCACATTTTAAATAAAAAGTAGCAAGTATGGTTACTCAGAAAGAATAGATATTTTTAACTAAAATTATTGTAGTGGTTTCCTATAAAAACACTTAAAAACCTTTGCACATTTTGGGTCAGTTCCATGGCCTGATGGACAAGGAAGCTGGATCCTATGTGGTTGACCCTGTGGTCCAAAATCCCAGACCTGGTGGCTTGGGAAACACACTGGGCACCTGTGTGTGCATGCCCAAAATATCAAAAAGAGGAAAAGGTGGAGGAGAGGAGATTGTGGTGTGACTAATTCCCATGCAAGGTGCTTTCTTGTCTTTGTCTGTCTCTGTCCAGTGCCTGTGCCCTCTAGCAAAAAAAAAAAAAAAAAAAAACAGAAAACAAAAAACTTCACACATTTTTTTACTAACATTTTAAAAATAATTTTATTTATTCGTTCTTTTATTTTAATTTGACCATAGAGAGATACAGGGGGCGGGGGAGTGAGAAAGCAAGCCACCAGGTCCAGGACTTGAACTGTGGTCCGCCATGTGGGAGTGTTCAGCGCCTTAACCACCACACCACCTGCTGGTCCTCTATTAACATTTTTTTATGGTGTCATTCACATTTCATAAAATTAGTGCTTTAAAATATGCATTTCAGTGTTTTTCAGTATATTCACAAGGTTGTGTATCCATCACCACTATCTGATTCCAGAACATTTCTAGCAGTCATCCTAAAAGGAAATCTCATACTCATTAGCAGTCACTCCCATATCCCTCTGCTCATAGTCATTGGCAATCTCTAATCTACTTTCTCTTTCTGTGGATTTGCCTATTCTGTATATTACTTAATAGAAACATACAACATGTGACTTTTGTGTCTGGTTTCTTTCACTTAGTATAATGTTTTCAGTGTTCACCCATGTTATAGCATGTATCGGTACTTCATTTTTCTTATGGCCCATTAATTTTCTATTTTACGGATATTCCATATTTTGTTTATCCATTCATCAGTTGATAGACATTTTAATGTTTAATTTCCACTTACTAGCTATTATGAATGGCACTTATGAACATTCATGTACAAGTTTTTTTTTTTCTTTTTTTTTTCTTGGAGAGATTTTCACTGTAGGGCACATGCGCTCGCCAGACAGACAGAGAGAGACATAGAGACAGAAAGCGAGAAATCACCCCTCAGGGGGGATGGTCACGCCGCAATCCCTTCTCCTCCATTCTCCTCTCGGGATCTTGGGCACACACGCACATGCGCCCGGCGTGAGTTTTAAGCCACCGGGTCCGGGACACGAACCGTGGTCGACTATGTGGGAGTCCAGCGACATAGCCATTACGCTAACTGCTGGTTCTCTCATGTACAAGTTTTTGCTTGAATATATGTTTTTAATTCTCTTGGGTATAAAAATAGGAGTGTAACTGCTGATCCTATGGTAATTTTATTTAACTTTCTGAGGAACTGCTATATACTTTTCCAGCCTGGTTGCACCATTTTACAATCTCACGATTGTTGGGATATATATGTATAAGTGTAACATATGAGGGTTCCAGTTTCTCCACATCATCAGCAGCACTTGATACTTTACTTTTTTTAAAAAAATATAGCTATCTTGGGGGCTGGCAGCTGACATGGTGGTTGAGGTGCTGGACTCCCACATGGAGCCCTGGACCAGGCAGATTCCTATTGGCAAATCACAATGAACAAATAGATAATAAATAAATGTTTAAAAAAAATTATAGCTATCTAAATGGATATGAAGATATGGTTATTCTTATTATGGTTTTAATTTGCATTTACCTAATGACCAAAGATGTTGAATACCTTTTCATGTTCTTATTGTATAAAACTCTTTGTAGATATGTCTATTCAAATCTTTCGCTCATTTAAAATTTAGGATGTTCTTTTACATACATTTTATAATTAAGTGATTAATAGAAACCATTTTGTTCTTCATTGAAATGTAAAGAAATGGAGAAGTGGTGATATACTCAAGGAACAATGACATAATTGTTACTATCTTAACTGCTCTTTATTGATTTAGCCCTATTGGATACTGAAAACTAAAATAACTCCGGGGGGTAATTATTTGGAGGCTTGTTGGACTTCCTTCCTGGCCCTTGCCCATCTCCAATATCTTCTAAGAGGATATTTTGCTAATAGCCTCCACTGTACAGCCAGCTATTAGAAGTTATGTTCTGGACCATGTGATGACTCACCGTATAGCCGCAGATAAACAGACAGGGAAGTTGGCACCCAGCCCCAAAGAACCAATATATTACAATGGCCAGCAGAACATGACATGTGGGAAAAAAAATGCATTGGCCCAGATTTCCTCTCTTTGACATTAGAACTAAGAAGTAGTGAGACAAGAGTTAGAGCCAAAGTTGAAAGGATTTTGTGAGACTTGTCATGACAAGCTAAAATTATAAAGGAATATAGGGACCAGCAGTTGGCGTAATGGCTATGTTGCTGGACTCCCATGTAATTGACCACGGTTTGCGTCCCGGACCCGGGTGCGGGTGCGTGTGTGCCCAAGATCCCGAGAGGAGAACGGAGGAGAAGAGATTGCGGCATGGCCATCCCCCCAGGGGGTGATTTCTCACTTTCTGTCTCTCTGCCTGACTCTGTCTTTCTGGCGAGTGCACGCGCCCTATAGCAAACACCTCTCCAAATATATATATATGTATATATATATATAAAAAGGAATATAAATGCAAAAAGGAGAAAAGATTCAGAGAGAGGAGAAAAAGTGGTTTTTAGAGCTGACGATTCCTTAGGCCATTTCAGGTCTATTTCTACAGCTTGTTTGTTTTCATAATTACTACATCTCCTTTTATCTTATGGTTATTATAGTGAATCTCTGTCTTTTGCAGTTAGAATCCTATTAGAACACTCTAACAATTTTGTATTTCATTAAAAAGTTAGTTCTTTAGAGGGCTACTAAGGGGTAGTAGGTGGCATCATGGTTAAGATGCTAGATTCTCACATGGCCAACTACAGTTCAAGTCCTGAACCCAGCATCTTAAAAATCACACTGGGTATGTGTGCTTACATGCCCAAAATCCTGAGAGGAGAATGGAGGAGAAGGGATTGTGGCATGGCCATCCGTCTCTTTCCATTTTTCTCTCTCTCTCCAGCAAACCCACACACCCTGTGATGAAAACCTAAAAAACGGGTGAGGGAAAGTGTTAATAAAATAAAGAGAAGTCTAGTTGGATTAGTTAAGAAAAATGAAAATGAACAAAATACAGTAGAAAAAGAAATAAGTACAGATACAACAAAGTTTTTTAAAAAAATAAATGAATATTATGAATGTTTATACATTTAAAAATTAAAATGAAATGGACACCATCTGTTGGTCCCATATGTACCAACAATATTCTAAGAAATTATAAGTTTAGCAATAGTTATCACCTTGAAAAAAAAACAAATGTATTAGGTCATCAGAAAAGTCATGATGCCTTTTTTTAAATTGTATTTATTCATTCATTTAATTTAATTTGCAGAGACAGAGAGAGAGAGAGAGAAAGGGAGAAAGGAAGCTGCCAGGTCTGGAACTCGAACTGTGGTTGGCCATGTGGGAGTGTCCAGCACCTTAACCACCATGCCACCTGCTGGTCCCCGCAATGCCTTTTTCTATGCAAAAAATGCATCATGACTTTTCTAATGACCTCAATATATGATTTTAGAGATGGGTTTCACTTATTTTTCAAGAACAATAAATTCCAAAGTTGTTGGAATTTATATAAAAGTTGTTGCAGAAAAAGATCAAAAGCTGCCCAGTTCATTTTATGAAGCTATTGTCATCTTTTTCCAAAACTAGATAAAAACTATATGAGATTAAAAAAAAAAAACCTTATAATCTCATTTTACTTACAGATAGTGATTTGAAAATCCTAATATGATGTTAGTAAACTTAATCCATAAACATATTTTACAAATATATTAAGAAGGGTTTTAGGACCAGTAGGTGACACAAAAGTTAAGGCACTGGATCCCACGTGGCTGACTGCATGGTGTGAGTCCTGAATCTGATGGTTTGAAAATCATACTAGGCATGTGTGTGTGTGTGTGTGTGCGCCCAAAAATTCAGTGAGGAGAATGGAGAAGGGATTGTAGCATGGCCATCCGTTCTAGGTGGTGACTTCTCACTTTCTACACACCCCTGCCCCGCCAAACTCAAATGCCCTATAGCAAAAAAAGAAAAAATTTTTTAAAAAAGTTTATATTAAAAATGCAAGCATAGATGAAGATCACAAAATCTATCAATGCAATTTACCATGTTAATAGACTTTCATCCTTACTCTCAGCTGGCTTTGCCTTTTACTTCCTGAGGAAATCGAAACAAATACAAGAAAACTTGCATTTGATCCCTTTGGCATTTTTTAAACCCATCTTTTAACATCTGTATCATATGTTCCACCTTCCTATTTTCATAGATGACCCTAAAGCCAATTCCCCCACTTACATACTGTCTCTCATCTTCTACCTACTCCGTCATTCCAGTAATTCTTCCCTATATCTTTCATAATTTTTCACTTCTATTCAGTCACTTCTGGCAGGGAGCAAACACTTCTAAACATTGTTTTGCTATAGGACATATGACTGGAAGAGAGAAAAAGAGAGAGAGGGAGAGAGAGAGAGAGAACGAACAAGCACCTCCCAGGGAATGACCATGCCACAATCCCCTTTCCTCCATTTCTCTTCACAGGATTCTGGGCCAGCATGCACAGACACCTGGTGTGTCTCTCAAGCTACTGGGTCTGGGATGGTAGTTGGCCATGGGGGAATCCAGTCACTGAAACCACCATGCCACCAGTTGACCTCAGCAAACACTATTTCTCTCACTTAAAAACACTTCTTGAGGACTAGCAGATGGTGTAATGGTTACATCGCTGGACTCCCACA